TAGTGACACACATAGGTAATCCCAGCACTTTAGGGGGCCAAGGTGGGAGGATGGCTTAAGGCCAGGGCTTTGAAACCAGCGTGGTCAACCTAACAAGACCCTGGCTCTACAAAAGAAAAATTTAAAAATTAGCCAGACTTGGTGGTACGTACCTGTAGTCCCAATATCTGGGAAGGCTGAGGCAGGAGAATTGCTTGAGCCCACGAGGTTGAAGCTGCAGTGAGTTAGGACTGCACCACTGTACACTCCAGCTTGGGCAACAGAGTGAGAGCACCTCAAAAAGATAGATAGATAGATAGATAGATAGATAGATAGATAGATAGATAGATAGATAGATAGATAGATAGATAAAAGAAACCCAGCCATGGTTCTCTGGTTTCGATGCCTGTTATTTCACTTTTTGGTTGACAGATGCGTAGGGCAAGGCATGTGAGAAGCAGCTTGGAGTTCAGTGCCCTCCCCTACCGGCACCTCTACGTGTTTAGCTATCCCCAAAGTATCCCAAACCCAGTCTTTTGGGTTTTTATGGAGGCTTCATTACATGGGCATGACTAATTAAACTGCTGGCCATGGGTGATCAATGTAACCTTCAGCCCCTCTCCCCTCCCTGGAGGCTGGGGGGTGAGGCTGGAAGTCCCAGGCCTCTAGTCCTGCCTTGGTCTTTCTGGTGACCAGCCCCATCCTGGAGCTACCTGGGGGCTGCCCGCCTTCACCCACCTCTTTAGCATAAGAAAGACACCAGTGTGGAGAGTCCAAGGATTCTAGGAGGTGTGGGCCGGGAAGCCCGGATAAAAACCAAATATACATTTCAGAATATCGCAGATAGCTTTAATTCATCCTGAAGAGCAGGAAACCCCGTCATCGGCTGTGTTTTCATCTTCCTCCCTTAGCGCTGTCGGATCGCGCTGATGCTTCTGGGGACTGAGGGTCCTTAGCACTGTCGGATCGCGCTGATGCTTCTGGGGACTGAGGGCTCTTTGTCAGAAATGAAGTGGCTCTTATTTTATGTGGGCCTTGCTCTTAGAGGGCTGCTGTGTGTAGATGACAAGCATCTTTGATCCCAGTTTTAAATTTTTATTTATTTATATTTAATTTTCTTCTTTTTTTTTTTTTTTTTAGATAGTCTCACTCTGTCACCCAGGCTGGAGTGCAGTGGCTCGATCTTGGCTCACTGAAACCTCCACCTCCCAGGTTTAAGTAATTCTCCTGCCTCAGCCTCCTGTGTAGCTGGGATTGCAGGCACCCACCACCACGCCTGGCTAATTTTTATATTTTTAGTAGAGATGGGGTTTCACCATGTTGGCCAAGCTGGTCTCGAACTACTGACCTCAGGTGATCCACCCACCTCGGCCTCCCAAAGTGCTGGGATTACAGGCATGAGCCACTATAACCAGCCTGTATTTAATTTTTATTTTTTAAAAAAAAAATTGTTTAGGGACGGGGTCTCACTGTGTTGCCCAGGCTGGACTCCCGGGCTCAAGTGATCCTCCCACCTCAGCCTCCCTAGTAGCTGGGATTGCAGATAATGACCTTCAAGCCCGACTTCATGCCAGTCTTTTAAATGCAGAAGACTTTTAACATAGAAAAGTTAAGAAAACAGAGATTGCCGTGCCGCTCATGAACTAGCACTGAAATGCTTTCATTTAATACTCGTCTGTTGAGTAATCTGCTGAGATTATAGGCGCAAACCTCCATGCGCATCAAGTTCCAGTATTTCTAATCCTAATTTCAAGACTTGTAAAGCTACAGTAATCAAGACAATATGGTGTTAGTGTTGTTAAAAGAAAAACTTTAAGAGAAACTAAATTTAACAGAGTTTAATTGAGCAAGAGTGATTGAAGAATTGGGCAGCCCCCAGGACCGAAATAGGTTCAGAGCAACTCTAGGACTGCACCGTGGTCAGATTTATGGACAGAAAAAGGGAGGTGAGGTACAGAAACAGCTGGATGGGTGAAGCTAGGCCTTTGTCTCCCTGAACCCGGTTTGCACTGTTGGCCTCCTGTGATTGGCTGAAACTCAGCCGCTGGGATTGGCTGAGACTCAGCTGCTGGGATTGGCTGAGACCCAGCTCCTGGGTACAGGAGTCGGTTACAGTCTGTCACACGTCCAGTTAGGTGACAGTTCACTGTGTATGGAGAAACCTTTAGGCTGAACTTAAAATATGTAAGGAAGCAGTTTAGCAATTTAACAGCGCAAAAACAGACAAATGGATTGCTGGAACAGAATAGTGCCCAGAAATAGACCCACACATTTACAATCAATAGATTTTCCGTAAAGGTGCCAAGACAGTTCAGTGGGGGAAAGGATAATCTTTTAAACAATCGACAACTGAACAATTGGATATCCATATGCAAAATAAATAAATACATAAAATGAACTCCAACTCTTATTTTCTACCATTTTCAAAGATTTACTTGAAGTGGGCCATCTAAGTGTAAGAACTAAAACTGTAAAGCTTCTAGATGAACATGTAGGAGAAAATCTTAGTGACCTTGGGATTCTTAAATCTGACACAAAAAGCACAAACAGTAACAGGAAAAAATGAACAAATTTGATCTTACCAACATTTGAAACTTTTAATCTTCAAAAGATACTGTTATAAAAATGGAAAGGCAAGCCACAGACTAGGAGGAAATATTTGCAAAATGTATGTCTGGCAAGACTTGTATCAAGCATTTTTATTTATTTATTTATTTTTTGAGACAGGGTCTCGCTCTGAAGCACAGGCTGGAGGGCAGTAGTGCAGTCTTGGCTCACTGCAGCCTCTGCTTCCCAGACTCAAGTGATCCTCCCACCTCTGCCTCCCAAGTAGCTGGGGCTACAGGTGCTCACCACCACACCTGGCTAGTTTTTGTATTTTTAGTAGAGATGGGGTTTCGCCGCATTGCCTAGGCTAGTCTTGAACTCCTGAGCTCAAGCTATCTGACTCAGCCTCCCAAAGTGCTGGGATTACAGGCATGAGCCACCGTGCCTGGCCTAGAATTGTTTTTAAACCCTTGTACTTGATAATATGAAGATAGCCCCAGCTGGGCATGGTGGTTTGTGCCTATAATCTCAACACTTTGGGAGGCTGACGCAGATCGCTTGAGCTCAGGAGTTCGAGACCAGCGTGGCCAATGTGGTGAAACCCCATCTCTATTAAAAATACAAAAATCAGCTGGGCATTGTGGCCCATGCCTGTAATCTCAGTTACTTAGGAGGCTGAGGCACAAGAATCTCTTGAACCCAGAAGGCGGAGGTTGCAGTAAGCCAAGACGGCACCATTGCACTCCAGCCCGGGCAACAGAGCAGGACTCTGTCTCAAAAAAAATTTTTTTAAGAAATTTTTTTTTTTTTTTTTTTTTGAGATGGAGTCTCGCTCTGTCGCCCGGGCTGGAGTGCAGTGGCCAGATCTCAACTCTCTGCAAGCTCCGCCTCCCAGGTTTACGCCATTCTCCTGCCTCAGCCTCCCGAGTAGCTGGATTACAGGTGCCTGCCACCTTGCCCGGCTAATTTTTTGTATTTTTAGTAGAGACGGGGTTTCACCGTGTTGGCCACGCTGGTCTCGAACTCCTGACCTCGTGATCCGCCCGCCTCAGCCTCCAAAGTGCTGGGATTCCAGTCATGTGGCGTGATCTTGGCTCACTGCAACCTCTACCTCCTGGGTTCAAGGGATTCTCCTGGCTCAGCCTCCCAAGTAACTAGGACTACAAGTGCCTGCCACCATGCTCGGCTAATTTTTGTATCTTAGTAGAGACAAGGTTTCACTATGTAGGTTAAGCTGGTCTCGAACTTCTGACCTCAAATGATCCACCCACCTCGGCCTCCCAAAGTGCTGGGATTACAGGTGTGAGCCACCACACCTGGCCAGGACCACCTTAGAACAGCCTGGTAGTTTCTGAAAAAGTTCATTTTTTTACAGTCATTTCACTTCTGAGTATTTACAGGTCTAGGAGACATGAAAGCATATGTTCACACAATGTGTGTGCACAGATGTTCGTAGCAACTTTATTTGTAAGAGCCAATTTATACTATATGATTCCAATTACATAAAATTCTAGAAAGATGCAAACTAATCTATGTTTCCCTGGCAATCGGAGTAGGGTAGAAAGACGGGGAAGGGATTGAGAGGCACCAGGAAACTTTGGGGTGGTGGATATGTTCGTTATCTTGATTCTGGTGTCAGTGTCACTGGCGTATACAGCTGTCAGAGCTCACCAAATTATGTCCTTTAAACATGTGCTTTTCATTATATGTCAGTTATACCCCAGTAAAGCTTAGAAACAGTTTTATAGAAAAGGAAATGTAAGCATGGCTTAGCTTTGAGTAGCACAAATAGTCAAATAACATAAATATGGAATTTTAAAATCAAAATATAATTATATTGGGGCAATGGAAAATATGTGCAATGGCGGAGCAGGGGGGCGGTTAGAAGAAAATCCTCATCTTCCACAGTGGGAATTTAGTAGATAAAATCTAAGACTGAAAAAATTCAGAAGGCTCAACATAGGCATATTAGGTTGCAGTGAGCCGAGATCACACTACTGCACTCCAGCCTGGGCAACAAGAACAAAACTCCGTCTCAAAATATATATATATAATCAGAGCCTCCAAGTCACACCTCGAGTCTGTCCAGCTGTGAAGGGGCTCCGTGCCCATCCCCAGGACCAAACTGGAACAGGTGCTCAGATGAGAGGGCTGGGGGCAGTCCTCCATAAGATGGTGTGCCCAGGAAAAAGTCTTCACATTTCTAAGTGGAACCTTTTAAGAGCACCAGGCAGCTTTTGCTTTGCACAGCTCCAGTAGTTAGTCTCTTGGGGATCCGAAGATTGGAACTTAGATGCTTAAAGCTTGAATTGAAGGATGCCCGCACTCTTTGTATTTCTCTAATGAGAGCCCCACATGAAGGACAGTTAAGGAAACGTCATGCTTCAAAGATAACCTGCATTGTTTCCTCCAAGCCGTGTGAGAAACATAGGCCTGGTGACCTATTAAGTGTCTTTCTCTTCTTCCTTTTCCAGGTGGTCACTTTTTTCATCGAAACTCCTTGTCCCCTCGGAGTCTGGTGTATGAAAGTGAATTCTCCACAATCGAACCTTCTTTGGACATGTTTGATGAGAACAAAACCTGAATTTTAAACAGGGGCTCTTGGGGTCACTGCTTTTGTGATTTGATTTCTGATCACCTTTCTTATTTTGTATTCTCCTGTCAGCATCCGTTTTGGAAGAATGGCAGCACTTTCCAAGCACAGGTTGGGGTTCAGGGTTAATTTGCAAAGTTCCCCAAGGTGAGGCATTGAGGACAGTAGTATTGCCCAGGTGAGCCTTGTGGTATTGAAAACCCGCCCAAGCTGATCATCGAAGGTGGGCGCCCAGCAAGCCTGGCTGTTTGCAGAGAAGAGGCTGGGCCCAGGATTAATGTTGCATTGGAGATGCATCTCTGAATACTCACATGCTGTTCTGTGCCAGGGAAGCTGGGGTTTTTAACATCCTTTTGTGGTCCCTGCTTACGATGCATACCTCCCTGTGGGAGAAGCTTCCTACCCGTGTGGAGTGCAGGTGCTGCTCCCTGACTGACTCTGGATGCTCCCCTCTCGCTTATTCTACTTCCTGCTGAAGGGCTTCTTCTAAAGGGGGTTGAGAGAAGGCCTTGCCTTTGTATCTCCTCTGAGACTGACCACCCACTTCCTGCCAGGGCAGGGCTGTGGGAGACGCAGGCGCTGGGGCCGGGTCTGTGTGCAGGGCCAGGCAGCCATCTGCATTGCCATTTTCCAGCCTCCATGTTGAGCATGACGTTAAGTGACAAGTGTTTATGTCAGCACAAAAACACTGAAGGCCCTTCCATCCTGCAGCCTGTGGACATTTCTACTCGGCCACCCCTGGGTGTAGGGAGTGTGTGTATAGGGAGGTGGCACCCGGGAGCCCAGCCCAGCAGTGTCTCTGGGCACAGTGATTTCAGGGGGGTGGCCAGCAGTTGTGAAAAACAGAATGATCTGGAATGTCTCATTGGGAAGACCAAACCCCCTTCTTGCTGCAGATGCCAGATAAGCTCCCACCTTCAGTGTCCACTGTGCAGCCCAGTCCCCTCCACCAGTCCCAGCATAGCATGAAAAGGCACAGGAGCACCAGCTGCCGGGCTTACAGGACAGGGTGCAGCAGCCTGCATCCCAGGCCAGCATCCCTGGCATCAGGGACATGCAGGATCTTCCCACACACCTGGGATGACATCGAATTAACATGATGAGAAAATTGCATCTTGCGAGTAATCCCAGTCCAGAACCACCATGGGCAAATTTGTAAAACGAATCTGCACACCCTCTTTGCAAAAGGACACACCTGAGTTGAGTCTGCCTGTCCTCACTGGTATGAGCTGCGTGGGGGCGTGAGGCGCACAGAGCCTGGCTGTGAGAAGAGGAACCTCAGTCTGCACATGCCTAGGGTCAGATCTGATGGCAAACCAAGCAGATGCGTGAATCCCCCGCCCTGTTCTCACTGACTGTGGAACATGAATTTGAAGTGGACACTTGCCATTTTTCCACGTGCAGCTTCTCTCAAAGTGTCTTTTCTCGTGACGTGTCAGTAACAGGCCTCAGACACAGGTGTGCCTGAAGGAAACCTGCAGAGCCCCGGATGGGGACAGACTTCAGGAGTGGTGTCAGAGAGCGAGCAGTGGCGTTTCATTTTCGCTCGTTTGAGACTAGAATGGTGCAGATTTTAAAGGTCTTAGCGGCTTTTGTGTTTTACCTTTTACCAAGGGCTTTGGGTTGTTTTTTTTTTTCTTTACGATAGTCTTTGTACTATAAAAATATTTTCAGTGAACAGCTTCAATATAGCATCGTTCAAAAAAACAGGTTTCCCCATTGGGCTCTCAGAGAGAGGATGAGTCTACGGGAGGCTAGAACCCATTTGCTGGAGGTTCCAGACACGCGCCTGCATTTATATGTGTTTGGCCCACCTGAGAGATAGGAGAGCTCAGTTCTGATTGTTGCCATGTTGTCTATACCACCTCCTTGTTTTCCCAAACCAAAATTCAGATCCCAATGTAGCATTTTCTCCTGATTTGAGGTCCCACCAAGGTGTATACATTAAATTCCACTCAAGACAGTTTCTTTACTGAAAAGGTATGAAATTACTTGAGAAGAAATAAAAAGTTCAGGCCCCTAGAATCTGTCTATTAATATAACATGTGAATTTCTGGGAAATCTGGGGCACACATTCACTGTAGAATCACCAAGGAGGCATTCCTTGCAGGGGAGCATCCTCAGAACCGTGCTGTGGATCCTAGCTCAACACCCTTTTCTGGAAAATCGGGGTCACTCTCTGGCTCAGCTACAGAATGGCCTATCTTTGTCAGGAGGGACACTAACTTCTCATTAAGGTCATGCTCTTCAGGAATAGAGGAAAATTTGGTTTTTGGTTTCCAGGTTTTTATTTTTATTTTTGTTTTTGTTTTGAGACAGGGTCTCTGGCTCTGTGCCCCAGGCTGGAGTACAGTGGCGCAACTTCGGCTCACTGCAGCCTCCACCTCCTGGGCTCAAGTGATCCTCCCACCTCAGCCCACCGAGTAGCTGGCACCACAAGGATGTGCCACCACGGCCACCACAGCCAGCTAATTTTTGTGTTTTCTGTAGAGATGTGAGACTTCACCATGTTGCCCAGGCTGGTCTTGAATTCCTGGGCTCAAGCAATCCGCCCCCACCTCGGCCTCCCAAAGTTCCGGGATTCCAGTTGTAAGTCACCATGCCCAGCCAAGAATGGCATTTCTTTTTTAATCCCAAATAACAGCCTCTTCACTAGCTGCTATGCTGGGGGAAATCCGTGCTAAGTCGGGACCCTGGCGGGAAGCGGTTGGGGCTGCTGTGAGGTCACATCGCCACATGGGCAGCGCTGCCCTGAGGCACTTGGGGAGCGGGGTTCTGCCTGCTGCGGGTATGAGCGGTGCAGGGAGAGAGTGTCTCAGTTCTCGCAAGTCTTGCCACCAGCAGTGGTTATTAGGAAATGTATGATAACCTCAGTCATTGTTGAGGGGGAACTATTTGAAGTAAGGAAGAGGCTGAGGAGTCAGCTGTTTACACCACACACCCACCCCCCTGCCTCCAGTGGACTGCTGTGAGCTGGGCCTGTGCCAGGTGAGCAGAACCATGGGCATGTATGGCAGGATGAGCAAGTCTAGGGCCAGGGCAGCCATCAGCATCCTCTGGGAGCTGGTCGTGACTATTGAAATGCAAATGCTTCAGCTTTGGTGATTTTTTTTTTTTTTTTTTTTGAGATGGAGTCTCACTCTGTCACCCAGGCTGGAGGGCAGTGGCGCGATCTCGGCTCACTGCAAGCTCCGCCTCCCGGGTTCCCACCATTCTCCTGCCTCAGCCTCCCGAGTAGCTGGGACCACAGGCGCTGCCACCTTGCCCGGCTCATTTTTTGTGTTTTTAGTAGAGACGGGGTTTCACCGTGTTAGCCAGGATGGTCTCTATCTCCTGACCTCGTGATCCGCCCGCCTCGGCCTCCCAAAGTGCTGGGATTACAGGCGTGAGCCACCGCGCTTGGCCAAGCTTTGGTGACTTTTAACATCCTAAGGGAGGAGCTGCCCATAGTAGCCCTCCTTTCCTGTTATTCCAGGGGGAGGGGAGGCCAGACAGCCAGGGCTTCCAGCGCAGGAGGTGGAGCTCAGCAGCCAGTTGTGGTGGTGAGCATGTCTGCCCAGGGCTGCCTGCCTCTGCCCTCCTCTTGGGAAGACAAGCTCTGCCCCCAGCTAAAAACTCCTCACAATCCTGATGAGCCTTGCTTTTGCAGATAGGCCCCATCTCCCCTGGTGGTCCTCAGGCCTGGCTGAGAGGCACATCCACAAGGCACTGTCTTGAGCACTGGTCTGGCACCTGCCAGCCTCCATGATGTGGCAGCAGCCGCAGCTGCCAGTGAGTCTGATGATATTTGGAAAAGTATTTTTTAAAATGAGATTACTGAATTTTACAAACTTGACATTTTCTTTCGGCTTTAGAAGCTCTTCTCATGTTTTTATTCCCCTCACATCCAATCCATTCATTGAGCTACATGCTAAATCAAATTGGTTTTTTTATATTTTTATTTTTTTAGAGACAGGATCTCGCTCCGTCGCCCAGGCAGGAGTGCAGTGGCACAGTCATGGCTCGCTGCAGCCTTGACCTCCTGGGCTCAAGTGATCCTCTCACCTCAGCCTCCCCAGTAGCTGGGACCACAGGCTCATGCCACCCACGCCTGGCTGAAGCTAGTTTTAACTGAAGAAAAATCAAAGTGTTCTCTTGCTGTTAACCTTTATTATTGAGGCATTGGCTCTGCTGTAGGAAAACAAGGAGGTGACGTTAATGTCAGTGGTTGACATTAACTGCTGGCAAGTGGCAATGCAGTTCCTTGACAAGTGGTTGCTGCTCTTAAATGTCAGGAAACAAAAACACTGATTTTAGAGATGTAGAATGTAGAAGGAAAAGAGTGGGGTTCTACAGTTAATATCATCAGCAGACTTTTATTAAGCTTTCAGTCTGTGCAAACACATATACTTGAAGTTGGGGTGAATCCGTGACCATTAAAATTTTGGCTGTTCTAGACAATGGGCACATTATCAACCAACTGGGGTGTGAGAGCAAATGATAAGAGGGTGAATCTGGATGAGGAGGGACTTCCAGGGCACAGGCGAAGGAGAGGCATTGCAGCCATAGAGAGGCCCAAGCAAACAGTCAAGAGAAGGCAGGGACAGTGGCCAGGAGGCAAGGACAGCACTTCCTGGGCAGGGACGGCTTGCCAGGGGGACCAGACTCCTGTCTCTGGAAAGAAAAGGAACTGCACTGGGGGTCAGGGAGGCTGGGCACGGCCCCGGCCTGGGATGCCAGTCCTGCCTGGGGGCCCAAGGCAAAGGGGAGGCATTCACAGACACCACCCCAGGCTCTGACACCAAGTGGAAGAGGAGGGAGATTGAGGCAGAAACCTGGGCTTCCAGGCCTGGTGCCTGGGTGGGTGTTGATGGGACCCAGGGAGAGTCCTGTGAGGATACTTCAGGTCTGGGCTGGCAGGGGCTCTGGAAGGAGGCATGGAGGTGCGAACCTGGTGCCCAGTGGAGGTGCAGTGGGGGTGAGGTGGCCAGGGTGCAGACCCCTGCAAAAGAACGCCTGCAAAGCTGTGTTTGTTTGTTTGTTTATTTTGAGTCAGGGTGTCACTCTGTCACCCAGACTGGAGTGCGGTGGCGCAATCTCAGCTCACTGCAAGCTCCGGCTCCCAGGCTCAAGTGATTCTCCTGCCTCAGCCTCCCGAGTAGCTGGGTTTACAGATGCACGCCACCACATCCAGCTAATTTTTTGTATTTTTAGTAGAAACGGGGTTTCACCATGTTGGCCAGGCTGGTCTCAAACTCCTGACCTCAAATGGTCCGCCCGCCTCAGCCTCACAGAGGCTGGAATTACAGGTACGAGCCACTGCACCGGCCTGTTTTTTAATTTTTTTAGAGACAAGATCTCACTCTGTTGCCCAGGCTGGAGTGCAGTGGTGTAATCTCGGCTCACTGCAGCCTCGACCTCCCGCGCTAAAGCAATTCTCCCACCTCTGCCTCCCGAGTAACTGGGACTACAAGCGCATGCCACCACACCCAGCTAATTTTTAAAAAAAGATTTTTAGAGACGGAGCTTCTCCATGTTGCCCGGGCTAGCCTCAAACTCCTGGGCTCCAGTGACCCTCCCGCCTTAGCATCTCAGAGTGCTGGGATTACAGGCCTGAGTCAGAAGCTGTGTTTTAAATGGACATGCCATCTTGTCCTGCTGAAGTATCTCCATGTAATCACAATATCTATGGCACCCAAATCTCCTCCTTCCTCCTCCCTCCCCAACACACCCCCACAGGTATGCACACACTGACATGCACTGGAGGCAGAATCTCCCAAGGGGGGCTGGTCAGGAGAGGTCCCTGAGTTCAGGTGGAGGTGGAAGCCAGAGTGGGGCTGGAACCGCCCAGTGACATGAGGATGGGGCTTGGGATAGAGCCCTAGGGACACTGACATTTAAAGTGTGGACAGAAGGAGCTACTGAAGGCAATGGATGTAGAAAAGCAATTGAGTATAATTTCTGTCTTCACAAACGGCTGTCCAGCTAGCTCTCACTTCCTCTCCTGTGTTCAGTGTCACCCGGAGGCAGAGTTTAATGTGACTAAAGTCAACATTGGCTCACATTGTCAGTGAGCGTGGGGAGATGAGTAAGGGCTCATCGCAGGGCATACCCACAGCTGAAAATAGCGCCTTCCCCTCCCAGGTCTGGTTAGAGCAGTTGTTACATATGAAGGGCGTGGAGTTTGGTCTTGTATTTTGGCCTTGTTGGTAAAGCATTCCAAAGCTTCGACACACCCTCCTTTTAACCCATTCGGAAAGGCTGTTGATTGTAATCTTCACACGGTGCCCTGGGCTATGGTTAAGAGCCTTGCAGAAGAACTGGGAGAAGCCCTACACGGATTTGAAGTATTGTAGCATCAGAAAAACACACCGGAAGAAGGCAGGTGGGGACAAGGTGCCTGTATCTGCTCCTTTGAATTCCT